AAAAAAGGAAAAAATTGTTGGATGCTTTGCTGATTTTTTTTTGGTAATTCTTTGTTTTTTCATGTGGTGGTTTTTTTTGTTATGCATTGGCAATTTTTTTATCAATGCGTTTGAAATACCGATTTTGAAGAAGTTAAAAGTTCTCAACCAATTATTTAATTTTACTTCCATTTTTTACCTTAAATATTGTGTTACCTTATATGTTCGCAATCTTTGTATCAAAGCAGCTTCGCTGCGTTGGGTGCGCTAATATTATATATTTAAGCGAGACATTTTCAGCCATGTTTAAGCCAAGCTTACGTGTTTAAGAATTATACGCTTTCTCTACATGGTTCAACCACAGTCTTTGAAGTTTGAAGTGTTTTTCCAGAGGTTTTACAAAGATTTTCACAAAAGTTTCACTAAGATTGAAAGTTTATTAATCAGTAACTAAGAATCGTTTCAAAGTAAATAGCTTGATTAAACGATTAATGGAATCAATTGATATGCGTATCGGGTAATAAAAACAAATATTAAGTTTAACGAGAATCTGATTGGTGATTTTAGTGATTTTACAATTGAAATCGTTCAGATGTTGTTTTAATTGCAAAAAGTGCAGTTAAACGCTGTCAGCCAATTTAGAATTTTATTTCTTGAGTTAATGCGAGTATATAAAACCGAGTAATTTGAAAATATTTCAATTTTTTAATAACGAACTTGAAAGTTCATTTTTTTACAATCATCAAATAATAAAAAAGGAAAAATTGTTGGATGCTTTGCTGATTTTTTTGGTTATTCTTTGTTTTTTCATGTGGTGGTTTTTTTGTTATGCATTGGCAATTTTTTATCAATGCGTTTGAAATACTGATTTTGAAGAAGTTAAAAGTTCTCAACCAATTATTTAATTTTACTTCCCTTTTTCACCTTAAATAATGTGTTACCTTATATGTTCGCAATCTTTGTATCAAAGCAGCTTCGCTGCGTTGGGTGCGCTAATATTATATATTTGAGACATTTTCAGCCATGTTTAAGCCAAGCTTACGTGTTTAAGAATTATACGCTTTCTCTACATGGTTCAACCACAGTCTTCAGTCAAGTGCAAATAGATTTAATTGCTACTGCTAGCCTGCGGACTTTCATCTACCATGGTTTTTCGGCCTAATCGCTTTGTTTAATATTAAAGCATGTATTTTTGAACTAAACCATGCCTTGCCATGTTTTATTTCACTTGTTTGTACTTTATTGTTTAAAATTTAAATCGGGGGTACTGTGAGCCTTTCTTTTGATGCTTGATCTTACTTTTTCGATTCTATACTCTTTTTGTCTATACTTTCAATAAATACAACTCTTGATTTTGGGCTTCAGTTTTTGTTTTAGAAGCTGAAGCCCCTTATAAACTTGCTTACGTAATTTGATCGGTGTGATTAAACTCGCGAGCTTACTAGCCTTAGTGTATTTGTTCAAACCTTTTTTTTCTAACACTACTGGCAATTAAAAGTGTTCTTTAAAAGTGTTCAGTTATTTGCTGGCCCTTCTGCTATAATCACGATTTGTAGCATTGGAAATTTCGTATCATCGGTTCTCTGATTTATTTATGGCGATTGTTTGTGATTTTTGAAGCGTCGGTGGCTGAGTGGTTAGTCTGCGAAACTCATAATCTCAAGGTCGCAGATCCAATCCGAGACGTAGCCGAATTTTTACTAATTCGAGGCTTAGTTACCCTTGCGATAAGCAAGGGTATTGCAATCGGGTAGACTGTTTTTCTTCCTAAAAAACGTTAGGTGCAAATTGGTCAAATGTGTAGAAATGGTTAATTTCAGACATTCTCATTTTCTTGAAAATTCAAGTAAAACTACTTACATCAAGGTAGAAAATAGTTGTAGTCCGATTCCGATTATATTTTTTTTTCAAGTATTTTTCTTGAAGTTTTTTTCGGATTCGCGTTTTTCGATCTGAATTATCTCTTTTTTCCCGTTTTTTTTAAACGAAGTTTGTTTTATTTTGTTACTGATTTTTTCGGCTTTTTTGTAAAGCATGTGTTTTATTAATGATTTTTAATAATTCTGTTTTTTTTATGTATTTATACGATCAGACTGTTTCGATTTGTTTAATGACAAAAATTCCATTTGATCAAATCAGGTATTGATACACTAGCGAAAGCAGGTGTCTTGAAATCGGGAACAAGACTTTTTCTAGTAAACAACTTTTCTTACACGTTTTAATTTTTCTTCAACTTGCTGTTTTAAAGGCCCTTCCCATCCGTTAGGATCCTTCCCATTTAGCCTTCAGTTAACGCTGTCGCCTTTGTTTCCTATGATGTGGTGCGACAGGTATTTGCGTGCGGCAGGTATATTAATCATTTTTTTCGGCGCAACCGGTATTTGCTCAAAGATCGTCGGCTTAGTTGCTACATCAATGATTTTTCTTTTTTCATGCTATAGGCAACTTCTCTTGTAGCTGAAAGAGCAACTATTGTTAATTCTAGTCTCGCCTGGGACTTAAAACTGTAAAGGTGTTTTTCTGAATTCTTAAATTTTTCTGCTCAACCTGTGTCTGGTCAAAGATTGTCGCCTTTGTTTCCTCTTTGTAAGTTGTTCCGTTGCTAATTTGATACTCAAATTTCTGCTTTGTTAACCTAGAATGAATTTCTATTGAGACATAAGAAATTTAAATATTTGGTACTACTAAGTTTTTTCAACGTTTTCCATTTTTTCGACTTTGTTCAATCGCAAGTGGTGATCCGCTTCGCATCTTTGTTCTTTTTTTCCCTTTCCTGCTAATCGGAAGATGCCTTGTGATTTTTTGTTTTTTGGATCTTGTAGTGTCTAATAGATTTTTTCGAAATTTCTGAAATAACCTCATTGACTCTCGTAAAAAAATGGAAAAAAAATATTTAATATTTTTTTTGTGATTCATTTAAAAATCCGTCGGCTCGTTTTCTTAATTAATTTATGGCTAATCTAATGTCGGTTTTTTTAGCACCCTATTTGGGCTATAATATTTGGGCTATCAAAGCAAGTTTTGAGTTTAAATACTGTTTTGTAAATTTTCAATGTTTTTTTTTCGTTTAAGAGTTCGCCCTTTCAGATAATCAGTTCTCAATGCTTTCGTAACATTGCAGCGTAAGCAGTTGGGAGTACTGTTTGTCCAGTTTAATTCTGTGGTGGTATAAAAGTTGCTCCCAACACTAATATTTTTCAATGAAAATATATTTTTGGAGGAGATTAAATACCGATAGGTTTCGGTCTAGCGTTTTTGAGGATAGTTACGAGCTAATTAATGTTATCTAAGAGGTTTACTGCTTTTTTGCATGCTTATGCAAATATTCATCAATGAAACTTAGTTAGATTCGATTTGTGAAATTTGTTGGCAAAAATATGAGCTTCGTAGATTTTTTGAAAGTTTCGTATCGACTTCAGACTGAATCATTTTTTTTTATTATGCTCATACTTAAAGTAAGGTCAGCTGATGTAAAGTAGCGTTTGCGCTCCGTTTAATGTAAATCTGCGGCTCGATTCTCTGTTGGATTTTTGTGGCAAACTTTTTCAATGTTGAATTTTCGACCTAAACAGTTTTTCTAAGGCTTCAGTTATGATGTTCGAATTGACGAGCTTTAATTTTGTTTTAAAAAATATGTCTTTTTTTTAATTTGCTAAAATGGTGTCATCTTTTGGCCAATTTTATCTCAAATATTTAATATGAAGCTGGGCAAGGATGTTATCGTGGGACTGTAGCCGATATTTGATATGCATTTTTTCTTGTGTAGATTTATATTTCCACTTTTTGTGGATTGGACAACTTTTGAAGTGGATACAACTTTTGGGTTGGAGTTTCTAGCAAACATTTTTGGCTTTGTTTCCGCGTTTTTAATATGTATTTGTTGATTTTTTCTCGACAAAACCATCCTTTGTTCGCCTCATATTACTTCGTTTCAAGTGCAATCGTTTTTTTTTTTCGTAATAATATTTAGTTAGAAATATTTAGTTTTTATGACATATTTTTTTACTCATCGAGCGTCTCTTAATGTCGGCTTAGTTAGCGCTTTTTAAATTGTGTTGCAATTTAATCTTAAGCCGACCACTGCCCTTTTGGATATGCTTTCCTCTAATTGAATTTCCGTGAGAGCGACTTTTTGATTGATGGATTATTTCTCCGACATTAAAAAAACTGTCGGTTTTTGACTTTCGTCTCATTTATTCTCGAGTACTTTGTCATGATATGTTTTTGATTATCGTAAGTGGTGTGAAGCTCCATTTTTATCTCTTTTTTATTTGCGTAGTGCAGCTATAACTCTTTTTAGTGTTTTATTTGCGTAGTGCAGCAAAGTTTGGCTTTAATTTTTTTAAGGCATTTTTCTGTGCATTTTTAGAATTCAGCAGCTTAAAATTGAAGAGGAAAAGTCATGAAATATTGTACATTGTATGATAATTCATCATTAAATATGAGTCGGATCAGCGGTTAGCCCGAGATCTGACTAATTTCTCCGATTTTTCAAGTTTTGGCGTCTTTGTAAGCAGCGTTAAATACCATGTTGAAAATACAAAAATTTCATTGCTTATTGAAATTTTGAGTTTTTTTTGTGTTTTATTATACTTTAATTTGAGTTATTGCAATACTGGAACGTTGATAAAAGTTCTCTTCTCAAAGAAGTTTCTCTTCTTCAAACGCTAAAAAACTGCATTCCATTAATTGCAGCACGAATGCTCAACACGAAAATTAATTTTTTTTTTCAATTGAACGAATTCTATAATTTGCGAATTATTTGAAGTTTTTGTTTTTCGTTTTCTGAACATATTAAAATTTTTAACATGGGTTGTGGCTGCGATCATAGTTTCCAATTGTAATGATTCGAAATATTTTGTAATGTCATATTCTTCGACATTTTTCATTTTGCATTTTTCATCTATTGGTACCATCATCAAAGTTCGGCTTTAAATTTTTAAGGCTTTTTTCTGGGCATTTTCAGAATTCAGATGTTTGGTATATTGTAAGTTTCGAATTTTTTCGATTGCGATGTTTAGATGGACTCTGTGATGAAAGTGTTAGCCAAGCAGCAGAATCTGCCAAAGATGCCTTACTACCAAACATGTCAACACGAACAGTTCCAAGATGGTCGGCCACTTCTCTGTGGAATGACTACTGAATCTTGCGTCTGTGTCGGCAAGAGCTCTTTCTGTGACAAGTCATGCAACTGTCATCCTGACTGTCCAAACCGGTTCCCCGGATGTCGATGCAAGGGTCCTTGTACCAACAAGTCGCAATGTCTGTGTCTTATGGCGGCACGTGAATGTGATCCAGATTTGTGTAAGAATTGTTGCACGACAACTGGAAGTGTATTCACAGAGCGTAACTCGTTGCCGATTTCTCACGAGCTGAAGCATGATGAAGATGTGATAAGTGCGTTGGAGAAGGATGATACGGAGGATAAATTGATTAGAAGGGAGTACTTGAGGAGAAATGGAATGAGGCAGTGTGAGAATAATTACATGCAGAGACCGTTTGACTCTAGCAAGATAGTAGTCGGTAAGTTTCGTGTTAATAATTTCTTTCAATTCCGAAATTTTTCGGTGCCAAAGTTCATGTGATGAATATTGTGATGTCACATTCTCCACGCTGAGATTTGAAAAAATCATATCGTAATAATGAAACTAAAACCAAAGCGTAGTGTTGGTGAGGTTGGTTATTCGACAAAACTTGCAGCCATGCTAACTTGTATTTAATTTTTCTTCTCTTATATTTAAACGAATTTTGAGTAGCTCAAAGGCATTTAAATACGCGCAAGAGCTGAACGGGAAAAGAAATATTGAGTTGTCAAATAATTTAAAAAATGGCAGAATCTGGATGATAATGACTGGGGAATGACATACTTTACAGGTGTTTCTTCTGTGTCTGGTTGGGGTCTGTTTGCCACTTTCGCAATCCGACAGGGCGAATTCATCGGCGAGTACAGAGGCGAAGTAGTGTCCCAGAACGAGGCCGAGAGACGGGGCAAAATGTACGACCTAATATTCAACAGCTATTTGTTCAATTTGAACAGTGAATTTGTAGTGGACGCTACGAATATGGGGTCCAAAATGAGGTTTATTAACCATTCGGCCAAGCGTGCCAACTGCACTGCAAGAGTGGTGCAGGTTTGTGGAGATCACAGAATTGGAGTGTACTCGTTACGTCCAATCAGACCAGGTGAGGTTGCTATCGTGGTTGGCAGACGGGAAAACTAATGAATGAAAACTTGCTTGACTCATGAAATGATTTTGAAATGCCACTTTGAATCTGTTGGGGTCATAATTTAACTTTTCTCAGTTCTCAGAAACGTTTTTTGGTCGCTTTTGGGAGAGTTATCCATAGTTGAAAACCCGCCTCCTCCCCTCCCGCAAAAAGCTTAGATTTGAATGGTCACAACTTTAATATTCGTAAAGAGGTAAATTAGATCTTAATGGGGCTAATTTGGGGTTGGTAGACGTTGGTCCAATTATAGGACACTCATTATCTTTTTTGCACCCTTAGGTGAGGAATTGTTCTACAACTACCGTTACAGTGGCCGAAAAGGAGTGAACGGGCGCAAAGACGACAGTGCAGATGAGGATGACAGCGAGAGTGAAGACGAAGACGAAGATGCAGCGGACGAGGAGTCGATTTATTCGGACCATTCGGCTAATGACGACACGGAAGATGACGGTAATAAAGCGGCTGGAAAGACGTTTAGTCTGTCGGGTAGTGACAATGAATTAGGAGACTACACGTACGATTACTGAAGTGGAACCAGTCAAGTATTTTTGGCTTAATGGTTTATTGAAGTCCACCAGAATATCATTTGTCACTAATCGTATCTGAATTCCGGACATGAAAAGACGAAGCAATTGAAACTATTAAAACAAACCTGAATTTGATCCTTTGGGCTCTTTTATGTTAGTTGAATTGCTTGTAATATTTTGCTTCTGCGTTGGGTGAAGTGATGATAATATTAATATTTTGATTGATTGCATTTGTGTTTCAGAAAGTGTCAAAATGTTTCCGAATTTTGTTTGTTTGAATATTTTCGGTGACGAGATTTGCTGCTTCTTGATTTTAATCGATTTGACTTTTGAATTTTCAATTCAATTTTATGTTCAAATTAAATGCTGCTGTTTTTTTTTCTGTATCAGTCAAGTTGAAAGGTAGTGCAGCATATCAATTTTCTGTTTTTCAGAAACAATGACGTAATATATAATGAATAATGACCTTTCACTGAACCAGACATTGGATATCATGCGTTAGAATGTACTCTTACTATGTATCAAGGCCAAGGTGATGCAAGAATGATAAAATGGAATGAATGAAGGTCAAGACGTTCAAATACAATGAAAATCTTCGTACTTAGTCCTGCAAACGGAAATTGCCCTCGATCATGCCAAAAGTTCGCTACGCGATCTCATTTTTAGTAATTCAAACCGGAGTGTCCCTGGCTTCTTGGACTGGGTCAGCTTGTAAATACAGTCTGTGTAAATTGTGTAGTTTAGTATTTCCACATGCGAGACATAAGCAGTTAGCATCAGTTTTGCAGCGTGAAGTTCGTTCATCTGTTGCGATGGTCAATGTGTCTGCTGCCGGAGTCGGAGAAACAAGTAGTCCCGTAGTATCGGAGAAGTCACCTGTGTTAAAGCCGAGAAAGCAGTCTAATTTGGATCCGATTGCTGAGAACTCGGTGGTCGCATCATCGGGAGACATGAAGGGTACAGATAGAACCTTAGTTAAATTTTGAAATAATTGATCTCACTTGACAGCAAGTGTACGTGTAATCGGGAACTAGACTTTTGGTCCTGTAAACAACATTTCTTACAAATTTGATTATGTTTCAGCCTTAGATCAAGTCAATTTACAAATTCCATGCCCACTTCCATTTTGTCTAGTAGTTAAGTGCCCGTTTTCAAATTTCAACGTCAGGGGTTCGTGACTTTCCTGGAACTAGTTTTTTTTTTCAAATTGTATAAAAAGTGAAACTGTTTTCTGGGAAAACTGTATATTAGATTATCGTTTGTCTGCTAGTTTTTTGTCTTCTTACTTTTCAAAGCATTTCTTATTTAAATACTTTTTCAAATAATTGAACTTCTACAAAGTAGTTAAAAACACACCCAAATACAAAGTTCCTCCTTTTCAATGGTCGGAACAATAATTATAAATTTGTTAGAAATTAGTTATTTCTCTAAAACCATACGGAAGACATCATTACTCTGAGCTGACAAATAAGATCTCCGAATTTTAACGTGAGAAAATATGAATGGATTTAAGTTCAAAAAAGAATTTAGAATTTAAAATTATTTTATACTTCCCAGCGGAATAGAAAAATTCTCTATTGATGACCCTGTTTTCACTAATTGGTTTAGTTTTGTGAAACACAAGTGTCAATCATAAGATTTCTTGAGATTGAAAGAGCTTTGCTTTGATGTATTTTTTCGAATGTATTTTTGATTTACTTTCTATGCTCGAGTTTCGAAAGTTGAAAATCATTTTTTTGGTATCCTCGACACTTTTCCAGCTTTGCATTGGCCATGTTTTGCTGATACCTGTTGGTTAGTTAAAGAGACATTTTGTATACATCAAAGTGCGGTATATTAAAGTTAAAAGCAATCTGTGGCCCAAGCCACCCTAAAAACAACTAAACCTTCAAACTATTTGTCGAATAAGCAGTTTATCACAACATTTTGTGGTTGAAAGAAGATAAGGTAGGTAACTGATTGAAGTTAGATTTGATTAAGATTAATCAAACGATTATTGAGTTAGCTTAACACAGATGGAGGTTTCCTTTAATAGGGTTTGTCGTCGCATTGCTCAAATAGTCGATCTTCAGAAATTTATTGCAGAATCTGTAGAAGCATCTCTTTCGTGTTTCTTAGTGAATATAAACTCACCTATGTAAATGATTTGAGCTATCAACAAAAGTTTCGGACAATTTTTGTTCTGAAAGTACTTCTAAAAAATCCCAGATCCACTTCTTGTGCTCTAAATTTTTCAACTCTCACATTTACTTGGAGTGATTTTTTTTTAACTTTGGCTGTAAGCTCAACGGTTTCTCATAATTTCAGAGATTATTTTGCTTTTGCCAAGTATTTTTCTAAAATTATATGAAGGCTTGGCTTTTATCTTAACAGGTATTCGTTTTACCAGAAAAATAATCCGCCAGCATTTTATTTAGCCAAAACTGTCAAAGGAATTTTCTGAAACCCCCCACTTCCAGATTTTGAAAATTTGACGTAAAAGTTTTTAATCATTACTTGAATCAAAATAACATCTAAGCTACAACGCTAATTCAGATACCAACCTGAAAAAAAAATAATAAAAAAGATCTTGTTTGTCCACAATTGTAGAGTTTGTCCGGTGAAATGATGTATGGTGAAAGTTGGTCACCATATGACCATGCACTTGACTTTTTTTATGTGTGGCCTTAATGGTTTGTTTCAACAGTTTCGAGTTAAGTGGAAAAAAAAGTTATAAAATGCAACATGACGTGGATTTCTACATCATGCTCCTAGTTTGGTTCTTAGCTTGCATGTGGATATGCAGCTTCCTTGTTTCGAAGTTTATACTACGATACTAAATCACTTAACCCAAAATTATATTTCCTTGATTTAGAAAGAAGATATTCTTCATTATCGCCAGCGACGTCTAAAGGACAACAGAACATTCCGACTACTAGAGTAGGAAATTTAACGCGAGAAAGAGTGCGACAGAACAGAAGCAGTAATCTTTCGTCGCAATCGTCTGTCTCAGCTCGCTCGTTGACCAATCAGAAATCAGATAGCAATTTACCACCGATTGCCCCACGAAACGGATTTTCATCAGCACGAACGCAGAACACCGTTAACGCTGGAATACGAAATGCGTCTAGCAGGAGTAATTCCCAACTAACCGAAAATCAGAGCTCTGTGCCGGTCAACACATTGTCAGAATCAGTTTTTCGAACACTAACATCGAGTTTCGCCAACTTGGGATTAAGTTCGAAAAGCGCATCTGTTAAGCAAACAAGAAGCAAATCCTTATCAGTTCATCGACATCAATCGTACACGACAATACCAGATTTAGTGCGGGGCTTGAAAGGTTCGAATTTTCAGAATATTGTGGTGGTCCAAGGAGCTGGAGTAAGCACTGGATCAGGAATACCAGACTTCAGAAGTAAAGGCACCGGGCTGTATTCGAATCTGGCCCAATATAATATCCCGTATCCGGAAGCAATTTTTGACATTGATTTCTTTCGATTGAGACCCAAGCCGTTTTACACATTGGCGAAGGAGCTTTACCCATCGGGAAAGTATAAACCTAATGTGGTGCATTATTTCATCCGATTGCTGTTTGAGAAACAGATGTTATTGAGAGTCTACACACAGAACATTGATGGTCTGGAAAGACGTAAGTGCTTTTGCATCTTAATCTGGGTGAAATGGACGGATACTTGAAGGGTGATAACTTTTTTATGGCATAGTGCATGTTAGCACCGAGAGTTAAAGAAGTTGAAATGCCAATTTCGAAATTTTTCATCAATTCATCGTCTTCAAGTCTTCTTTGTTCTTCTTTAATCTTATCGTGTGATTAATCTTTTGAAAAATGCTTTCATTTTTGAACTGTTTTCTAGGGGCGAAAAGAAGAAATGGCCAAGATTAGGTTTTCCACGCTATTGTATGTGACCAAAAAAATGTTAAAACGACCAAATAGTTTTTCAAAAAATTTTAACTCTGCGATAAGCAAGGGTATTGCAATCAGGTACTAGACTTTTTTCTTCGAATTTTGGGTTCGAATCTGACTAGGACCTGTTTTTTTAACGGTAAATGTTCCGGTTCAAAAACATGCGGCCTATTATTGTCTGCTTATGTTTCGTCGGCATAAGTGCCAGATCTAAGAATCGTTTTTTTTTGCTGTAATCATTTTTCACTGCAATTGCCTTAAGTGTTGTTAGCATTTTAAAAATCTGGCGGAATCGAAATTTGTTTTAATACTGGTTGTAATTTTACCTACTCGATTTGTCAACATTTCTTTTTTTTCCATTTTTGTCTTTTTTATCGGGTTAATAAGTTTCGTCTTAATTTATATCGACGTAGTGGCCTCTTATTGCCCCGTTCGGGGATCGACAAAAAGTTTGTGTTCGTGTGTGTGCTCTGAGGGGAAAAGGGACATTCAGAACATTTTTATTAGTTTAGAATTATAACTTTTTTCGGTATAAAAGGTTTCTGCCCAGGTATTTTCGGCTCTGCTGCCACATAGTAATTATAAATTCAAATTCAATCAAACATTCGGCGCATCTGGTGTAGAGGTGACACAACTGTTTGAGACCGCTGTTTTATTGACAAAAAACGATTTTTTCATCTTTTTCCGTTTGATTTTATCAAATTTGTATCGCAAGTGGTGCGAAGCTCAGCTTCGCCTCTGTGTTCATATTTTTTTTCATGAGTACTGGGCACAACAACAGGTTTTTCTCTTTTTCTTTTCATTAAAAGTTTGGTTATAGTGGCTGGAATTCCTCCTGGATACCTGGTTGAGTCGCATGGAACTTTCACATCTTCCTCTTGTATCAGATGTGGAAAGGCATTTCCTACAGAAGACATGAAAGCTGCCATCTTCTCAGGCATTGTTGCTAAGTGCCACTCTTGCAAACAGGCTAGTTCTGTTCATGATTCCTCAGATCAAGTGATTTCGTGTAGTTAAACTCAGATGAACTAACATGAATCAATGAAAAAAAACAAGTACCCTACTTTACGTTAATGTACCTTATGACTTTTGATGTTCTTCTTGCATGAATGATACGTTAGTATTCATGAGAGGATAAAAAACACTGTTTTAGGGGCTAGTGAAACCGGACATAACCTTTTTCGGCGAAGACTTGCCGAAGCGTTTCTTCATGTTCAGTCGGGACTTCCCGAAAGCAGATCTGATCATAGTCATGGGAACCTCTCTAGAAGTGGAACCATTTTGCAGCATCATAGGATCTTCCAAGCCCTCAGTACCTCGACTTCTCTTAAATAGAGACAAAGTTGGACCTTTTAAGAGATCCACACGACCTACAGATATGTCTTTAATTGGTGAACTAGAAGCTTCGGTTTGGGATTTAATTCGTCAACTTGGTTGGACACAAGAATTGAAAGATTTGATTAGACAACACGAACCGAAGTTACCGAAATTTGAAGATATTGCAGATGAAAGTAATCATAACGGTAATGTTTCTTCGCATGGTGCTGGGAAAAATAACGCAGTACAAGAGTCGTCGGCGAAAATCATCAATAAAAACAGTACGGTTACTTCTGATGGTTTGAAAGCAAACGGCTTTTCAAAAAACGACAACAAAGTTAAAAACGGAGTCGGGTCGTTGAGACCAATGCCTCGGAATAACACGATATCAAAGCCGAATAGTGTGGTTCGCTCGAGTAATTTTGGAACTCGGAAAGCTGAGGATAATGATTCAAGATGCTCGACCTCTGAAAGCTCAAGTGGCACAAACTCCACTTCTAGTTAACGAAATGAACTTTTTTGTTGCAATTTATGAAGCCTTGTATAGAATTTTTGTTCGGCGCAATTATAAATCTCAATTTCAGTTCTATATTTTAGAGTTTACAAAGAATATTTTTCTATCTCGTTTTTTAATATCGAAGCCCAAGTGCAAATCACAGCGATGTCAGATATCGACTGGAATGATGGGTGCAGTGGCAGCAGGGTGACCACTTGGTCACTATTTTAGTGACCAGTCACTATTGGTCTCTATTTTTTCAATGGTCACTAGAAGTCACTATTTACAACGGTTTTTGGTGACGGACCCTAAAATTTTTCTAAAAGCGCCTTTGGCGCCAATATATACTAATATTGGGGAGGGAGCGCGCGCCGGAAAAAAGTTTTTTTTTTCAAAATTTTTGAAAAAGTGCCTAAAAACGACTTTTTCAGCCTGTTTATTCAAAATTATGCTTGCAGCGAAGAAATTTTGGCCAAAACAGGGACTTTTTAGTGCTTTGGTAGAGCTTGAAAAATTAGTTTGGTCGACCTAAAAAAAGGTCACTATTTTTCTCTCAGAAAAGTGGTCACCCTGAGTGGCAGTCAATAATTAGTTTTTCTGAAAACGACCATTATATGTTTGTACTATTCCAAGAATATGAGAAATTTCGAAGCTAAAATACTCAGCCAAGTCAGACTACTCGAAGCAAAAAGACGGAAATGGCGAGAACTAAAGTCTTCGAATGGCTGGGCTTGCCGCTTGTTTCTGCTTTTCATAACCTGAATAGTCGCGAGAGATACGAATGGTGGTAATAACTCGATTTTTCATGCTGTTTTTAAGCATATCATAAGAGTCAATGGAATTATCATATTTGACTGCTCACGAGTTAGAGGGCTGGGTGACACTTCACAATTAGTTAGACACGCAACATAGCAGATAGGAGAGTAGAGAACTCTTCCTCCGCCGCGATTACATTGGACGCGGCGTGCCGCAGCGTTTGCCGATCAATCCGATCGATGCAAAGAACACAATAAAATTAAGGACTTCTAGTTACGAGTTGTCGCCGAGTAAAGTTGTTCATACGGTGAGTTTGATGATAGGAAATATAGCATAGACAAGACTACTCGTATCAGGGCGAAGCCCTGAATGTTCCGACTGCCTTTAAGGTTTATGGAGCAGTAAAAATATTAAATGAAGTAAAATAAAACGAATTTTTTTTTTCTAAAATTCAAAATATTTTCTATGAAAATCATCCCCCCACACGCCATATAAAGTACAGAATACAGAACAATAAATTTCGCTTCTGGTAACAAATCAATTAAGGCAAATAAGCTTCTTTCAACCAATTTGGAACGATTTCTAAGACGGATTAAATCTCAGCTTACGCGTTAATAGCGCGAATTATATTGCGCGTTAATTGTCCCAAAATGGCAATCTTTAAACCTCCATAACCTTACGAAAAAAATTCACAGGTGAAATATCTTTTCAAATTTCAGCTCAGGAAAACAATACTTTTTGAATGATATAAAAAAGTTCCGTCAAAAATGGCTAGTTAAAAAGTCGAAATTTGTCTAAAGAAAAAAACCCACCCGAGCACAAATATTCCGGTACTTTCGTATCGAAAGTCGGAACAAAAAGGATAGTGGCTGGATCAAGCTTTATTTTTCCGACTTTAGATACGAAAGTAACGGAATATTTGTGCTCGGGGTGTGTTTTTTTTCTTCAGACAAATTTCGACTTATTAACTAGCCATTTTTGACGGAATTTTTTTTACATCATTCAAAAGGTATCGTTGTCCTGAGCTTGAATTTGAAAAGATATTTCACCTGTGGTAATATTTTGTAAAGTTATGGGGGTTTAAAAATTGCCATTTTGGCGAATTTGGGACAATTATTGCGCGATATACTTCGCGCTATTGACGCGTAAGCGGAGAGTTAATCCCTCTTAGAAATCGTTCCAAATTGGTTGAAAGAAGCTTATTTGCCATAATTGATTTGTTACAAGGAGCGACTTCTATCCTTTTTACTTTATATGGCGTTTGGGGGATGATTTTTTTAAAAACTTTTCAAATTTTTGAAAAAAAAACATTTTATTTTCTTTTGTTTCATTAAATTTTTTCTAATGTTATTACTGCTCTATAAACCTTAAAAGGCAGTCGGAACATTCAGGGCTTTGCCCTGATACGAGCAGTCTTGTTTGTGGCTTTTTTATATTAAACAATTTGAATATGGTTCAAATTGTTAGACACTAGATTCTAAATGTGTATTGTGGTAGTTTGATCATTGAAGTTATATTGGCAAACTATTTATTTTTCCAAGCTTATTTACTTGTTTTTAGATTGTCTAGCAAATTTTAAATCGTATTGCCAGTTTTTTGTTTGCAAAACACAGATTCACTTGTATAAACAAAATGAACATAAAAAAGGAGCGTAGTTTTTCAACACTGGTATTATTTGCTTACGTTCAAAAAAGATTGCGAGGGTTGGAATACAAAGAAATCGCGCTTTTTACGAACGCTCTTTGATGCCAAACAAATGAAGCTTGGGTTTTAGTAGATTAGTTTTCCCAGAAGAAAAAATAAATATGGCGCGAAAAAAGCGAATGACTAAATTTCAGAATTGCAAATTGCAATAACAAAAAGCCATTGATCCAACTTTTTTGGATCAGATAAATTTTGTTTTTAAAAAATGGCTTTCTAACTAGCGTTCTTATAAGTTGCTCGCACTCTAATTTGGTTTTTCGAGGTTTGAATTTTTTTGTAAAGTCATTGCAAATTCATTTGATGAAAGGAAGGCAAATATTGTTGCCAATAAAAAAAAGCAGATGATTCAAAAATTGAATAAATCTTAGTATAATGGACTTAAACTTGATTTTTTGGCTAGGTTAATGACTTTTGTCGTTTCCAGTATTTCGTTTTAGAACAAAGTAACTTGCATTTTTTTTGCTTTTAGACAGACTTGAAAACACCAAATACATCAGCTTTTTGAAATTAAATAGAGTTCTTGAAATTCAGGATGTTAAAATAATCTGGTGCTGTTCAAAACTCAGAACATCATTCAAAACACATTTAATTGTAAATATTTTCATGGACAGACTTAATGATATGGAGTATCCACTCTTCTCCATATCAAATACAAAAATTTAGAATCAAGCTATGGACAGTTTGATACTTATTTAAACGGCCGATCTCAAGCCACGATTTGAAATATGACCTGATTTGTTTCACGGGCGTCATGCTTTAGAGTGTGAAAGCATGCAGCCTAAAATAAACTTTATTTTTGCAGTCATGCAAATTTGATAAAACCGGCAATCTGACTTCTTGGAACTCTGACACGCCACTACGTTTCTTGTTTATTTCGTTTCCTAATAATTTCGTTTCCTAATAATAACTAGTCAAGTAGTTTAAAAGGATCACATTTTTTTTGAAGTTCCAAGAAAATTATTTTGTACCCACCAGCAACGTGCCAATGAGAGAGAAGCCGGTCCCTTTGAATTTAGGTTGCATCATTTACCAAAGGGCCCCCTTGGTATGTTTTTACGAGATCCTTTTTTGGCTGGACGACATCAAAAAATTTCCGAAGACGCCTTTGGGGCCAATATAACATTTTTTTTTCAAAATGTTGCCTGCGGCGCCTAAAGTTTGACAACATGAGGTCCTTATAAAATTTTTGGAGAGCTAAGAAAATCAAACTGGACGACTTGAAAAAAGATCAATAAAATTTTCCCATTTTTTCGAAACCCCACTAAAAAATTTTTGAGCACGCCACTCGTACCCATATACTAATAAAAAACTCTACGTGTTAAAAAATTTCGATTTATTCTGTTGGAGGCAACGAGCTATTCTCCTAAGACATTTGAAGGGCACTCTGAAGTTAGAAAAAAAATATTGCACTATTAACGGAACTGACACTAATTTCTGAACTAGACTGCTCGTACCAGGGCAAAGCCTTGAATGTTCAGTCTGCCCTTTAATTGGTCTCGGATAATTTGGTAAATTACATATTGGCAAAACTATGAACTTTAGGCTGATAATAACAAAAATTTGAGCGTTGCAATTTAAGTCGTGTGTGAAGTTCATGAAACCAATTTGCGGCCTCAATTCGATTGGAACGATTTTGTAGTGCGGGAATTTGAAAAAAACAAGCAGTTTTGGTCATACTCGTAGCAGGTTACTAAAGTGGTGTGCATACTCGGCTGGCTACATGCAGGTCAAGAGGTCGATCCCCCGAGGGACCAGAGTGTTATAAAAGTGGTCTGATTAAAAAACCACCCTGAGCATATATATTCCTCACTTTCTTCGAACGCCGGAACTTAAACAGCATGAATATTTTGAATCTTGATTATACGAACAGAAGATCCTGATAAACTTAGTTATGCTTTTAAAAGTTATTGATGGGAAAGTGACAGTTTTAGATTGATAAAACGCAGTATGTTAAGTACTCATCTGATCTTGTAGTCTAGTGTAACGCTTCATTTAGCAGAATTTTCTATTTCCAGGCTTTGATTATTTTTTGCTTTTGAAGAAAGCTATTGATCGCCTAAAAAAATTCGACCTATCAAAAAATTAAAGTTTGCAATAAAATTAAGTTTTTTCTTGCAATACTCTAAAAACCATTACGTAAATGATATAATTATTGACGCATATTTTTGCGGTAATTAAGTTTTTGTACGCCATTCAGTGTTCAGTGTCAGGCCGGGAATTTGGCAGATCACTCTTTTTGTTCCTAAGAATTCCGAATTTTCCAAAAATTAATCCCATTATGTAAAATTAACAAAAGATATATATAAAGTAATGGTAAACTGGAGAAGGTACACGTGATGTGAAAAACCTTAGATAAGACCTCACTGAATGATTATACCTCAAGGAAGATTTCGACTCCTTGTGTTAAATTATAAAAATTGTTTTAACTGCAATCATCGTTTTTAGTCAACTTCTGGGGATTTGATTACTACCAATATGGTTATGTTCTGGAGCAATTTATATGCACTTTGAAAGTTATATTTTGATACCAAACACGCTACGTATATTTGCTCGATATCGTTTCAAATTACATTGAGGCAAGCTTAATAATCATATTAGTTCGTTGGTTCAAAGTT